GTGTGTGTGTGTGTGTGTGTGTGTGTGTGTGTGTGATACTGACGACAGGTCTTGTGCAGGACTCTTGGTCCTCTCTGCTCAGGGAGGACGATGACGGCAGACTCGAGGTGCCTGAGTCACTCAGTGTGTGGGAGGACTGGATGGAAGCAGGACGGGGAATACATTTTTATTTTCTGAGGGTGAGATAATGAAGAGAAATCCATCATGTGCTTCATAAAAGAAGACGTGGGCAAAACCAATGAAACCCAGGCGCTCTGTCCTTGTTTCTGCGGAATTTCTCCAGTAAAAATTGTGCTGCTCATCAAACGCAGGCTTCACTCTTTCTATTTTCTCCGACGGAGCATATTGATATAACAAGTCACCTCCTACCTCTGTATCTGCTCCGCAGCTCTGCTCTTCCCCCCCTTTCCCTTCATGTTGCACAAGAACTCACAGAGCAGTTAGGACAGGCAGGTTACTGGAGCTGATCTCAGACAAGCACAGACATATTTTCTGGTTTTCTGGAGGGGCTGCATGTAAGCAGGGCTGCATAGTTTTATGGATATTGTCTGGAGTTTCTGGAGAGAGTTGTATCTGTGCAGTTAACACTGTTAATGGAGTTATTTTTTTTACTGTGTGCACTGATAGATGTGTGTTCAGCCTCTCTTCCCAGTGGATCAAGATTTCTACGTGTTGTTTTATTCTCCTGCAGTAAAACTGAATTTTAAATCAATCACAGAGAGCAAGTGAGTACGATACAGACAATATATTTTTAGAGACTCACTCTTCTAAATGCCTCCTCTTCCACCTCCTCCTCCTCCTCCTCCTCCTCCTCTTCCTCCCCCTCCTCTTATGTTCATGCATTCTCACAGCTGTTGGTCGGAAGAGGTTTAGACTCCCAGAAGCAGAAATATCCAGATCTGAAGACTAAAGACCACATTTAGATTTAAATTTATGTTACAAGTTGATGCTAGTGCAAAAATGTTCAAACGGGAAAGCGCGGTCAAAGGGCTTCTCCAGTTTGTGCCACACTGCCCACTCCTGAGGCGCTCTCTAAGAATTTGATGTTTTATTTATTGTCTTGCAGTCATACCTTCATACATCTTACATTTCTTCTTTGCTCCAAAGTGACAGAGGGAGTTATTACAAAAATGAAAAAGTAGAATATAGGGGAGAGGTTTAGACGCCTGCCGACTTTCTTTCACACCTACAATCATAGTGTGAAGCGCTGGTTAACAGATAATCTATTCATTAGCTACAGCACTTCTCCTTTCACACTCACAGTCACACCCACGAGCAACGAGAGTCTCCAATTAAAAGCTGCATGCCTTTGGACTGTGGGAAGAAGCAAACCCACAAAGACCCTGATCGGACAAAAGGTTTGAACCCAGAACCTTCCTGCTTCTTCAGGGAATTCACCAACGTTTCCGACGACCAGATTTACAAAGCACAAAGGCTCCAGTTCTCCATCAGCATTACACTACAACCAACAAGGACCTATGAACTGTGGGTAGAAAAGGCCGTAAGTGAACCCTGAGTGCTGGAACAGCTGAAATCTGGTCCAACTAATCTCTTAACAGATATCTGCATATGAATAAAGCTGAATTATAAAGCAGATGAACTCAGTCAGTGTTTTTATTCTCCACGGACAGTTTACCTGAGGACAACCACAGCTGCTCCAATGTGATCGAACTAGAAACGAAAAAAATCACACTGCAACAGACACTCACACACAA